AGGAGGAGGCGCGCTGGAGGGGCCTCGCTGCTCCGGCCCCGGCCCCGGTCCCGTGCGCCCGGCCGCTGGGTGTGCCGCCGCTCGCCTCCTCCCCCGAGCCTGCCGGGATTCACGCCCTCGCGCTCGGGACCAGCAGCCTCTGCGCTCAAGTCTCCTTTGAAAGCCGTTCGGACCTGCTGATCCTCGAGGCTCCGTTTTAAACTCTGCACACTCGCTGTAGTAGTCGCCTTTCAGCATCCAAGGGCCTTTCGTCAACTATAATCACAGGAGCGGCTTCTCTTTACTGAGCGTTTCTACGTGCAGGACGCTATCTGCTTCACACCGTGTGAGACAGGTTTTATCCCTCACTTTACAGATGAGGAAACTGAGGCTGAGGCATGAAGAGACTTGTTCAACGGCTGAACTCTTTTCAAGATGCCGGCTGCCTCCGAAGCCGTGTCTCCCTCTGCTTCCTGACATCCGCCTTTAACTCCAGCCAAACCGAACTCCTCTCCTCCCCAAAGAAACACCTTGATTTGTCCTTGACAAGTCTTTATTCAGGCTATTTTTGATCCTTGGAATGCTCTCTCCCCCGTCTCCCGCCACCCAATGCCACCATCATCTTCACTCCCCTGAACCTGGTGTGAGCTCCTGGGGTCAGGGACGGTGATATCAACATCTCTGTGGCTCACCTGCTCCCAGCACAGGGCCAGGCCTGGAGCAGGCCCTCTGTGTGGGACTGATCAGTTCTCCTTCATGGAAGTCCTTTCTGGATGGGTCTTACCTGATAGAAACCCCTCCTCAATGGTGGACCCCTCAGGGGCAGGGACAGAGCCTTCAACTCTGCTCAGTCTGAAACCAGCAAACAGCCATTGATGATTAAGCAGCTAGTAACTGTGGGGGATTGGAATTGGCCACCTCAAAATATGTCTCTTCCTGAATGACACTCTGGCCTCCAGCCCCACTAACTAACCAAAGGAGTTTGGGATGGGAGGCCTGTCTTCAGAACAGGCCATTACCATAGACATCGCTGGGTATCTGGGTGGGTCTGTGCTAAGCCCGTTATAGTTCTGGTTGCCCTTTATAAGAGACATTTATGTTTATAAAGAAAATCTCCATTTGTAAAGGTACCTTCTTCCTTGTACCAGGAAGAAGGGGGGATGGCCTTACCTAGAAACTTATCAGAATGGAAGGCGAGGACTTAAATCTGCATGATAAACTTACCCATTGTTAACTGTGCTGTTTAGGCAATATGCTCTCTGACTCCCACTAGGTCCTATAGGTCACGTCCCCCTGGAGCCTGGGTCACCATGGTAATGGATGTTTGAGCTATTTTTTTCAGGAACTGAACCCCTTGTCCACTTCAGGCCAGATTGACTACCAACCCATCAACTGGGCCCATGCAGACATGTATCCAATAAGTGACCTTTTGACGGCAAGAGGTTGGAACTCCACCCTGAGGGCATGCTAATGCTGCCATTCTGTGAACGTGCCACCTATGAAGAGGCATGAAGCCTGACTACGCTTGCGCAGATCATCAATTACCTCATCTCTCCTCAACTCCAATCATTTCAGACCACCTTGCCCCTTACCCCATAAATAACCCTGAGTCCCTGTTTTTGGGGAACTGGATTTGAGATTCATTCTCCCATTTCCACACTTGGCTGCCTTGTGATTAATAAACCCTCTCTCTCTCTGCCATCTCGTGGTCTCGGTGATTGGCCTTCTGGGCGGCGGGCAAAAAACGGACCTGGTGCTGGTGCGGTAACAAGTCCAACCTACACTCGTGGAGATAGGCCCTGAGCCCTGGCCTGTGCTGGGAGTGGTGTGGTGGACTCTGAGATTAGTAAATCCTTCCAGTGTGCTGGCCTGTACCTGCCTCAGGATCCTTGCACTGGCTGATCCCTCTGCTTGGACCTGCATGTGGCTGCCTCCTCATCATTTAGGGCTCACTTTACAAGTCAGCACCTCAAAGGGACTTTTCTCGATGTATCTCACATCCCTTTATATTCTTTATCCCATTACCTTATTTTATTCTCTTCATAGCAGTTATGACTGTCTGAAATTCTTAGGTATTTATTTCCTTGTTGACATTAATTCATGGAGCTTACATTCTAGTGGAGTGAGACAGACAATAAATAAACATATAATGTTTGGTGATGATACGTGCTATGCAGAAAAACAAAGCAGGCTAAGAGAGCTAGAGATAAGGGGACACTTGAGCAGCGACCTGAAGGAAATGAGGGAATGATCTGTATGGATATCTGGGGGAAGAGCCTTCCAGATAGAGGGAACAGCAAGTGCAAAAGCCTTGATGTAGAAGCTTGCTTGCCCTACTTGTGGAACAGCAAGGAGGTTATTGTGTGAAGGAGATATGGAGAGGGGCAGTTAGATCCCTCAGGGCTTTGTAGGCCTTGGTTAAGGACTTGGGTTTTAAATCTGAGTGAGAGGGGAAGTCACCTGTAAGATTTGAGTGGTGAAGTAACACGATCTACTTTTAAAAAGGATCATTCTGGCTCCTGGTGGAACATAGGGCATGAGGGGCAAGGATGGAAGCTCTCCCAAGGTGACCAATTTGTCCCAGTTTACCTGAGACTTTCCTGGTGTTAGCACTGAAAGTCCTATGTCCTGAAAACCTTCTCAGTTCCAGGCAAACTGGGATGGTTGGTCACCCTACAGTGAGACCAATAATCCAAGCGTGAGATGGTGGTGCTTAGAATAAAGTGATAGTGTTGGGAAGGCAGTCAGATTCTGGGTGTGTTTTGAAAGCAGAGCCTAAAGATTCTGCTAATGGAGTGAATGTGAGTGTGAGAGAGAATGAAAGGAGTCAAGCAAGACAGGCTTTTGGCCTGAACAACTGGAAGGACAGAGTTGCCATTTACGGACAGGAGGACGGCTGGAGTAGGTTTTGAAGGATAGACGATCAAGAGTTTGGTTTTGGACATGTTGGTTTGAGACAACTTAATAGACTGGCAAGTAGGGATGTCAACCAGGCTGTTGGGTGAAAGAGTCCAAAGTTCTGAGGAGCAGTCTGGGCCGGAGATATAAAGTTGTGAGTTGTCAGTGTATATATGAAATTTAAAGCTACGAGTCTGGATGAGATCACTGAGGGAATGACTATAGACAGAGGGATAAGGACTGAGCCCTAGGGCACATTAACATTTAGAGATCAAGGAAAAGAGGAGAAACCAGCAAAGGAGACAGAGAGGTAGGAGGAGAGCCAAGGATAAGCAGAACCAGGAGAAAAATCTGTGCTAAACAGGGCCCCAAGTCACATACTGGGTGACCATAAAGAGGGAAGTAATTAAATGGTGCCAAGAAGCTGGGTTAGCCCCAGGGGTGCAACCTACAGAAAGGCTGACTTGGGCTTAATTAAGGAAGGGCTTTCTAACTGAGCTGCCCATAAATGGATCGAGCTGCCTCAGGAGGTGTGAGCAGGCCCCTGACCCAAGCGTGTCCTGGGGGATTGGTTGTCGGGTGGGGGAGATGTACATCCAGGGTTCAAATATCTGATAGGAGTTGGACTGGACAACTCTTAAAGTCCCTTCAAACTGGAGATGATGTGATTCTGGGAAGCCAGCTGAAACAACTGCCTGTCATAGAGTTGAGCTGAGCCTTGTAGGTTAAGCAGGTGTTCAGTTGGGGGGAAAAGCGCAGAGGGGCACTCCTAGGTGGAGGAGCGATGTGAGCAAAACTCCAGAGATGTGAACAAGCAGGGTCTGTTAAGGAGTCTGGCCTGGTCAGAAGAGAAAGGTGTGTGAAGGATGGGGAGGAAGCTGAGGCTGGAAAGAGATGTAGGGCCGGAAGGCGGGGAGCTCCTACAGGGCCTGTTGCCCAGGAAACACTTGTCAACGCTTGTTGAAGGAAGGCAACGAAACAAAAGGGAGATTGTAAGAGCCAAGGAAGAAGGCGTTGATCGCTTAGTTCTCTTGAGGAGGTTTTCTTCTGACAACTTGGTCATAGACGTCTTGAGGGCAGGGCTGCCCAAAGCTGTGTGTTCCCTGCCCCACTCCCCACTGGGAGCAGGTATCCATCAACTATTCCTTAGAGCCCAGCAACATGGACAAGCCCCTGAGGGACCTAGAGCCCTTTCCTGGGGGTCTCTGTGGGTCCACCATGAAGGGGTAGGGGGCACACAATTCAATGGGTGGATCAGTCCCTGATAGAAGAAGTAGAGATACACTATGCCCGTGAGATGCCATTGGATGGAGTCCCTTCCCTTCCTTCCATTAACCTAAGACTTCACAAGCATCACCCCTGGAATACTCAAAGCTCAGAACCCAGTGACTTCGCCTTTAGGGAACAATGGGGCCTGGGCATTCCGGGAACTCTATTGGCCGGACAGATGAGTAGGTGAGCTCCCTCTCTCTAGAGCCATCAATTGGGTACCAAAGCTTGAGCCTATGGATTCCCAATGGGAGGACCTGAGCCTCCCTGGTGGTAAATGTCCCTCCCATTCCTGCCCCTTGCTTTGTGCCCTTAGCTTGGGGGCAGATAGTCAGGGAAGACCTTTTCAATGGATGGGGTGGTGGCTGCCTGCATGGAGGAGTGCTAAGCAGTTGGGATATGGTTTCCTCTAGAAAACTAAGGATTCCTTGAGGGCAGAGACCACGTCTTTCTGCCCAACCAGTGGGAGAACACAGAGGGGTACTATGAATACCTCAGGACCATCACAGCTGGATGGTTAGGGGGTGTGGTGGAATGGGATGGGACATTGGTGTCCCTGTTAACTGGTAAACTTTTACTTCCTTGATGGGCCTTGCCTGTAGTGAGGCTTCTCCATCTGATGGGTCAGATGTGTCCAGGGTTGGGAACCAGAGGCTTGACTAAGCCTGGGCAGGTCACGCACCCTTTAGACCTTGCTTTCTTTATCTGTAAAGGGCTAAAGGTGGCATCTTTAGCTCCCTGGAAATCTAGCTTTGACCTAATAAGAGAACGATGAGGCAAGTCAATGAGGAAGGAAGGAAGGAATGGAGAGAGTGGTTAAGTGGATGGAATGATTGATGAATGGGTTAAGGAGAGGAATGAGAAATAGCTCAGGCCCCAAGCTAGAGCTGTCAGCCAGCTTGCCTCGTTTTCTTTCTTACTGCCTTAGTGTGGGTCTCACTGTACTTTGGATTCCTGGGACTGTGTTCTGTGGTAACCGGCGGCTGCATTCTCTTTCTGCACTGGAGGAAGAACTTGCGGCGGGAAGAGCGTGCCCAGGAGTGGGTGGAGGTGATGAGAGCCGGTGCGTTCACCTACAGCCCGCTGTTGTACTGGATTAACAAGAGACAGCAATACGGCATGAATGCAGCCATCAACACAGGCCCTCCCCCTGCTGTCATCAAGACTGAGACCGAGATCCAGAACGCAGATCCTCTGTGGGAGTTGGACATCCCCAAGAGCTGGAGCTATGCTGCTCAAGACAGCAGCTCCAAGGTAGAGGCCCCTGTGCCCCTGCAACCTGCATTGCAGGTGGGCCCGCAGCAGCCTCTACCTACCCCAATGCCGCAGTCCCAGGCTAGCTCCCCATTCCCGATTCTCATCTTCCAGGAGGTGCCCTTTGCCTTCTCTCTGTGTAACCTACCCCCAATGCTGAACCACTCAGCCTCCTACCCTTTGGCCACCTGTCCTGAAAGGAACGTCCACTTCCCTTCCCTCCCCACACTGGCCCATGGGGACCACTGCTTCAATGCCAAGCCTTTTGCTTCAGAATTGTAGCCTCTTCTCACTGAAGCTGGGAGCTGGAGGTATCAGGGGCAGAACAGGAAAGGAGCTAACCTCAGGGAGGCAGTATTGACACAGAGGCCAGGGCCCATCTGGATGTCACATTATGAAAGATTAAAAAAAGTTCAAAGCTCCCTTGTGTCTCATTTGTTGTTAGGAGGGCAATGTTCTTCCCGTTTGATGGGGGCACTTTGCAAACCAAGCTGAAGGTTGCTGAGTCACAAATGGCAACTGGAGGGTTAGCTGTGGGGAGACACACTGAACCAGTACTTGTGATGGGCTCAACATGTCTAGTATTTATGACCAAAACATGTGCCAGACCCTGGGCTAGGTACCCAAAGGCACTGCCCTTCTGTGGGATGTTAAGCACAGCTGCAACAAGAGTGATAGCTCCTGAGGGTGCATGAGCTATGGTCATTCATAGTGGCCATGTTGCAGGCAAAACAAGTCATCATGAGACCCGTGAGCCATGCTGCACTGCTGGCTGAATCACATTCTTTAACATCTGTGATGTATTGAGTTCTTATGTGGCTGTCTCTGTACATTATTCCTAACAGTCACGAGAACACTGCCAAATGGCTATCACCATCCCCCTCTCACAGATGAAGAGACAAGGTTCCAAGGGCATTTGCCATATTGCTTTTATGTTACAGAGCCAGGTCTCAAATTTATGTCTGCCTGGCTTCAAACTTCCTGATCTTCCCACCATACACCATGGTGTCCCTTCCCCAATGATACGTCTTGCTAGAAAACACTTGGCAAATGATTGTGTGTGTGTAGGGTGTAATTAACTTGGTCCATGGATTGGCTTGGGGGGAAGGGCTGGTCAGTGAACACCCTAAAATCACACAGAAATACATCCACAGTTTTCAAAATCTTTCTCAAAGGAATTCATGGCCCCTCCAAGTTAAGTTCCACTATATGGGAATATTAATTTTTGGACCTTCTGGAAATAATCCTAAAAGGAAAGATAGATAATACTGGCTATTTGGTCTTAGTTTAAAGAAAAGAAAGTCCAGCTGTGCCCCAGGATATAAATTTTTCCCTTTCCCTTTGGAAATGTGAGGAATGAGGACATCACCTCACCATACGGTAGATGAGCTAAGCTTTACGTATAGTCATCGGAGGAGAAAAGCCACCCAGATTCTGTGTGTGTAATCCCAGAATCTAGCAAACAGGGAGAGCTAAGCCCCAGCCCCCATAGGACTCCTCTCTTGCAATGGATTTCAAGCCTTTTTCTTTTTTTTAAAAGGCAGTGGAACATTTCTTGTAAACATGTTCTTACATTGAATCTCAAAATATAAAGCATGCCTAAGTGGAGCTTGACTGGTTGATACAAGGGCAGGGGCTCAGTCTTCCCTCAGCCCACCCACTCCCACCCTGCAGATGTGGAACCAGTGGACTTCACTTCTTCAGGCCAAATCCTGTGGTTCTTTAGGCACATTCTTCAACATTACTTTGCGCCCACCATCTGTTAGTCCCTACTTTCAAAAGGAGGAAGGAATCCATAAAAATAGAGATCAAAGCAGGTATGTTTTTTTCTTAGTAATGGTTGGGGGAAGCCCTTAGTCATAGACACAGTGGGAGAAAAAAAATGTTTTATTTAGATAAATTAAAATGGCTGTATTACTGATATGAAATAAGCAAAGCTCAAATCAATTCATGGAAACCTTGAATTCACTCCCTAAACAGAACCAAAATTGCTTATATGTTACCCAAATAGCTCCACTAAAGCAAAGTAGATTTACATTTCTTAATATGAGAAAACAACAAGGTAGGTTAGGTTCGTATAACAAACAATACACGCTCTGTAAAATCTCAGGAAGACCCAAATGTGTTCTGGTTTGGATATGAGAGAAGGAACCACATCTAGCTGGTGTTGGAAAGCAAGCCAATGAGGTGTGTAGCAAACAAAAGCTGTCACTAAAAACAACTCAACAGCAGGTCATTATGAGTGTAAGCCCATCACAGTCAAAATCTTCAACTGTGACCGGCAAGACCAACGGCGGGGGGCTGGGGGGGGCGCGGGCGGCTGATGGGGTTAGTCCAGCAACATAAAAGCGAGGAACCACCAATGGAAGGGAAGGTAGCCAGCAGCAGGTGAAGGGCGTCCACTCTTCAGTGTTGCTGTATCAGACACATTCCTAAGTACCAGGCCCCTCTCTGCCCTTAAGATGACACTAAACCAGGTTCTCTCTTCTTTAGTTCTTCTCTTCCTTTTTGCCTCTCTGATTTATGAGAAGGCTCTTTAAGTAAACATTATACCAGATAGTACAAGGCAAAAGAAAAAAGGACCCAGAAGCAGTGCTTGGGGTAACTTAGGAAATCAGCAGCAGGAGCTGCCAGAGTGAAAAGGTGAAAGTATGTGAAACAGGAGCCGGCCCCGTGGCACAGTGGTTAAGTGTGCGCGCTCCGCTGCTGGCGGCCCGGGGTTTAGATCCTGGGCATGCACTGACGCACCGCTTGTCAGGCCATGCTTTGGCGGTACCCCATGTAAAGTGGAGGAAGATGGGCATGGATGTTAGCCCAGGGCCAGTCTTCCTCAGCAAAAAGAGGAGGATTGGCACGGATGTTAGCTCAGGGCCGATCTGCCTCACACACACACAAAAAAAGTATTTGAAACAAAAACCAAAACCAAACTCACCACCACGACCCAACCTTCCTCTTAGAGCTGAGATGTGGCAGGTGAGGCTTGACTACAGCTCAGGTCACAGGTTGGGTAAGTTAAGCCATATACAAATAAAGATCCCAAATTAACACTGAATAATAGGCTTATGAAGCTCTTTTCTTAAGCCAACAAGTCTGCTCAACTTAGAACAAAGGAGTTCAAGATGCCCTATTTCTGCCTGGGAGATAGGACACTTTCTCAGGCAGTATGACAGAGGTATTCACAGGTCTAAGAGTGTAGCATGAACACCTCTGCCAAATTTGGTAGGGGGAGAGGATGGTACTATACAGCTGGCTCAGGGATGAGGCTAGCCAGACAAGCTCAAGGTGGAAAGAAAAGATGATAAACTAAAGAACAAAACTGACTTCTCCATGTGTAGACCTGAAGCAAAAGAAAAGTACATACAACGAAGAGTTAAGGTGTTCTCAAAGTATCTGCCTATGAATAAGAATTTGAAAGTAAAAAGGACAAGCTACATTACCCTCAAGCATATTTCACATAAATCAGTTCTCAAAAAAATACCTTCTAGGTACAGACATACTATTTATGGTACAGTATATACAAATATAGCAGTATAATTCAATTTATTGCTAGAATTTTATTTGGTTGTTACAAAATCTGTAAGGGTATATATATTAAAAAAAGGAGGGGCATGGAAGGCAGCCAGAAGAGTAAGAGTTATCTTCAAGTTACCTAAAGTGCCAGGCTAATTTTACACTAAATGTTAACCTTTCCAAGAAAGTAAAATAGCTCAGGTGGGACAGGAAATGTTTTTTTTTTTTTTTTTAAAAAGAGAGAGAAGCATAAGCCATAATGAGGTAAGCAGATATATTCATGGGAAAAGACTTCATCTTGCTTTAACTAAATTTTAATACTATTAGAAAAAAAGCTTCTAAAAGCTTAGCCAACACCAAGCTGAACATCATATAAAGAAAAAAATCAGCCCTTAAATGTTTAAGGGTGCTTGACTGCATCCATGGCTAAGAGGACAACTTGGGTAAAGTTAAAACGGAAATGAGCTCTACTAAAGAAGTCTGTGCCATGAGAGCTTTTCTAGTTTCTCCCTGACTTGGCCTCCAGCACAGTTAAGTCTTGCCAACCTTTTTCCTTTTGTGATGCCCAAAGACCGCTTCTAAGAGCAACACAGCACACGCACAGGTGACATGGAGGTATAATTCCTTCCAGCCCAGGGACCTTTAGTACCGGGCCTACAGAAGTGTTTAAAGGGAGAAGTATTGCACTTGCTTGTATGAGATTTGAAAAAACTTGCTACCATCCTATGAAGCCCCTGGCTCCAAGCCCGCCCGCTATCATTTGGCATCCTCTGGACGGAAAGCCTCCAGCTACTCCTGAGCTGGTAATTGTAAGGAAACCTAACATGATTTCCTGTGTTTCATTTCACAACGTTTTTGGCCTTAGCCCAAAGAGGGACACATTAGGTTCTTGGTCAGTCTCCAGGTAAAATCTCAAGGAGTTTCCTGGGTCAAAATTAGAGGCATAGCTCTCCTTTAAAGCTCCTAGGTAGCCAGGCTGACAGTGACTGAGGGACTTCAGCCCTGCTGTTCAGAATGGAGACAGTATCAGAGATGGAAGTCAGCTACAGCTTTAAGATAGGATTGGGTGGGTGGGTGGGAGAAGATAATGCAGCTCACTCAGGGGGGAAATGTAGCTCCCTGCTAGATAACTTTCTATGCTCATAAACACTGAAATAGGATTAAAAATCCCCAACAAGACTTCTCTGGTTCATAGGTTGGAATTAGCTGAGGGGACAGGGACAAAGAGCCAGAATCTTACTTTCCTCAGCCTGGAAGCGGCATTGTCTTCACAGGGTCCACTCTCTAAATCTGTTCCCCCAGCCACCAGGCCAAACCCCATGGCAGCACCTAACAGAGATGCCTTAGGGAGAAGTGGACAGAGTTTCAGCTGCTACCACCTCAGATTAGTGATTTTTAATAACAAGTCATTTGTTCGCATCCTGTTTCAAACCATTCTTCCTACTTCCCACAAAATATGCACGATTCTTCCTTTCATTTTAAATATTCACAAACAGAAAAGGTCTATCTTTTAAATGAAAGACATTTTCTGAGTTTGTATAAAGTGCAGCTAATTTAAGGCAAATTTACGTGAAATACAAAAGGTGGCTTAGTCTCTCTATATACATGCTTTCCAGTTTTAAAAGATAAGGTCTCCTCCTCTCAAAAAAAGGAAAGAAAAAAAGAGGACTTGACTTTTTTTCTGGCAATTTTAAAATTAAGATCTTGGTTTCAAGAAATCATATATTTCTGAATATCATAAGTAAAATGGTCTTCTTCTTTAAAAAAATAACTTTTATACAGCTTTTTCAAACAAGTTAAAAGGTGGCAATGTGTCTGCTATAGTAGTTTGGAGGACTCATGGGTAAGTAAAAGGGCTGTTTTTGTTAGGTGAGTAGATATTAGGTAGTCCAGGGTATATATCCATTTCTAAAATACACCTGATGAAGCTAGACACCTAAAGCTACTCTTAGCTCCAGGAATGAGTATCTTCCATCTCCATCGGAATCATATGCTCTCAAGCTCTCTGGTTCTGGCAGAGCAGAACCTAAGGAGTTAGAGATTTCCTGGTAGGTCAGCTTCTCATCCACGTCCTGGTCAGTCTTGTGGAATAAATCCTGAAGATCTGTTAAAAAGGAATAACAAAAAATGTATATGTCTATACATATAGCTAAATTTAGTTACCAGTTAAAAAAAGTAGTCTCAGCTGAATTTAAAAAAGCCACTTTGTAAACTTTGTTTCCACAAGGTAAAGTTTAGGGTCTCACTAAATCAGAAAGACTAATTCTTGATCCTTTAAAGAATGCAAGGAATACTGTATGGCATTATCCTCTCAAAACAGAAGCAGTGACAGAGAATCACAAGAAAAGTCAACGGACTGGCTTTCTCTCTGCCCAGGGCCAACCTTTTAGATTTTCCAGATTTTATTCTTTTTTTTTTTTTTTGTAAGGAAGATCAGCCCTGAGCTAACATCCATGCCAATCCTCCTCTTTTTGCTGAGGAAGACCAGCCCTGAGCTAACATTTATTGCCGATCCTCCTCCTTTTTTTCCCCTTTTTCTCCCCAAAGCCCCAGTAGATAGTTGTTATGTCATAGTTGCATATCCTTCTAGATGCTGCATGTGGGATGCGACCTCAGTATGGCCGGACAAGCGGTGCGTCGGTGCACGCCCGGGATCCGAACCTGGGCCACCAGTAGCAGAGAGCGTGCACTTAACCGCTAAGCCATGGGGCCGGCCCCCAGATTTATTCTTATGTTGAAGGGGTGAAAAGGATTGCAGAGGCCTAAAGAGCCACTTGATAGGGGCTGAGCCCATAAAACTGACTATGGCATATTGTCAGTTAAACAGAGTTATCATATGACCCAGCAATTCCATTCCTAGGTATATACTCAAGAGAAATGAAAGCACATATCCACACAAAAACTTATACACGAATATTCATGGCTGCATTATTCCTAACAGCCGAAAAGTGGAAACAAGCCAAACATTCATCAACTGAAGAATGAATAAACACAATGTAGTATATCCATACAACAGAATATTATTCAGCCATAATAAGGAAAGAAACCCTGCTACACACTACAAGACAGGGGGACCTTGAAAACATTATGCTAAATGAAAGAAGCATATTGAAAGAAAGGAGCACACATGAGGTCACGTATTGTATGATTCCATTTACATGAGACACTCAGAATAGGCAAATCCAAAGAGACAGTGGTTGAGAGATTAGTGGTTCCCAGGGACTAGGGGAAGGGGGAATAGGGAGTGACTGTTTAATGGATACAGGGTTTCTTTTGGGGATGATAAAAATGTTCTGGAATTAGATAGTGGTGATGATTGCTCAACCTTGTGAATATACTAAAAACCACTGAATTATACATTTTAAAAGGGTGACTATTATGTGAATTATATCTCAATTAAAAAAAAAGAACCAGAGAACTATATCTCTTCAAAGCTATATATATACACACACACCGAGGCTAGCTAGCTTTTTCCCCAGCTAAGAGAGACAGCAATAACATCAGTTGACCTGTATCTTCTTTTTTATTTTTAAGATATTATGTAAGCCAACAGAATTGGAGAATTTCTATCAATAGTCTCTTCTGGTATTTTCTCAAGGGCCCTATAATAAACACTTAGGAGAGCTGATTATCTACATAACATTTAAAAAGGATTTGATTGTGTCCCCACAGAACGACTTAGTAGATTTAGTCTCTAATACCAGAATATGGTCAATGAGTCTTATGTTTTTCTTTTCTTTTTTTTTTTGTGAGGAAGATTAGCCCTGAGCTAACATCCATTGCCAATCCTTCTCTTTTTTGCTGAGGAAGACTGGCCCTGGGCTAACATCCATGCCCATCTTTTTTTTTTTTCCCCCCAAAGCCCCAGTAGATAGTTGTATGTTATAGCTGCACACCCTTCTACTTGCGGTATGTGGGACGCAGCCTCAGCATGGCCTGACCAGGGGTGTGTCGGTGCGCGCCTGGGATCCGAACCCGGGCCGCCAGCTGCGGAGCACGTGCACTTAACCGCTAAGCCATGGGGCCGGCCCCATGCCCATCTTCCTCTACTTTATATGGGACGCCACCACAGCATGGCTTGACAAGTGGTACGTCAGTCCACGCCTGGGACCTGAACCTGCGATCCCCGGGCCGGCTGAAGCACAGCGCGCGAACTTAACCCCTATGCTCCCAGGCTGGCCCCAGAGTCTTATGGTTTCTTTAAAAATCTTCCTAATTCCTTTCCTTTCTTCATTTATTCAACTCCACACCTAGATTCAATAGGCCTCCTGCTGTTTGGTACTCAGGAAGAAGGAAATGGCTGAAGGCAGAGGAAATAGTAAGCGTGCAAGGTCCAGTCCAGCTAGGAGTTTTGCAGACAAGGTTCTGAATAGCGCCCTACTTGCACTCCTAAGATAGCCCCAAGCCAAAGCAGCCAAATAGTCTCAAGAACTCTCTGCAAGGGAGAAAAGCAGGTGGGACGCTTGTTCCCAAAGCCTGCCACCAAGTGGCTAGCTGGAAAATGTTTTTTTGTGTATATATGGGGCATGAGTTTATAAAATGTGCTATGCACTTGGCAGCAGCATTCAAATAAAAATCTGATTGCTGTTTCAGGTCATTTCAAAGTGTAGTCATTCAAAAGTGTGTAAGGCCCATGTTAGGGACTAAAGTACAAATGTTAACATGGCTATTTCTTTTTCTGTTCTCACAGTCTGTCTTCCATTCTTTCTCATCAATTCCTGATGTGACAATGGAGAGTGGGAGGAGGCAACTGTGTTCCCAATAAACACAACCCAACACTCTCTCGCCTCCCCAGAAAATAGAAAGAAAAAATTGCAGATAGGGAAAAACAGTAATTGCATTTAAATGGCAATATAAATTCAAATCCTCTATGCTTTAAGCATTAATTGTAGCCTGTAAATAACTCATTCACTTAACAAATATTCAAGCATACTGGGCACTATGCCAGGGGCTGGGAGTACAGTTAAATTTTATATCTCCCCAGGAAATTACAACAGAGTCACATGTGCTAAACAGGGGCAAACACAAAATATTATAAGAGTACAGACACAGGAGGAACCTAATCCAGTCCTCAGAGGTCAGGAAATGTTTCCTGGTGGAATGGTACCTAAGCTGAGGTGAAGAGTCAGGCAGAGGTAGGTGGACAGGGATGGGGTGATTTTCCAGGCAAAATCAGGAGGCTCTAAACATCACAAGGAGGGAGAGAAGACACACTGTTGGAAGCAAGGCAAACACAGTTTTCTAGGAACGATATCTTTTCTACCAATGTTTAGCTTGCTAATTTTCAGCCAAAGGACCTCTCATTTTTGGAGGGCCCTGACAAACAGAGTCAAATTTTCCTTTATGTTGTTAATCTCCACTAGTGTGCATTCTCCACTAGACTGTTACATCCATGAGCAAAGTGAGACCAGATCTTATACTGTATTCTTATTGCTTAGCACTGGGTCTAATTAGGCACACAGTGAATGAATGAAGACTCTAAAAACATTAATAGAGAGAAAATATAGTGCATTGGTTAAGAGTGCAAACTCTCGTGTCAAACTGCCTTGGTATGAATTTTACCTCAACAAATTATTGGCTGTGTGGACTTAGGCAGTTTCCCTCTCAGTAAAATGGGTGTAATATATGAATACTGATGTCCTCAGGATTGTTACCAGGATTATATGATATAATGCATATCAAATATCCAGCCCAAAGGAAGGGCTCAATAAATGTTAGATATAATTCTTTTTCTTACTAGTTAAAAAACATTAAAAAGTTATAACTTTGAACATTTCTCCTACTACTTCATGGTATAAAAAGTTACCTTTGACGCTTGAAATTCCTGGTAGGGAGATAGGTCTTAGCTGGGCAGCTTTCTCAATTTGGTCTCCAAGAGACTGTGGAAATTTTGGCAATGCTGATGGCTTTGATGTGAAACTCTGTACTTGCTCTGTAACAAACATATACAATTTTAGTATTATCGAATCCGACACCAAATTAAACCAGTATTGAAGGCCACCTTTTAGGGCAATTACATTTGTACTTAATTTAAGAGAAACAGCTGAGAATTAAGTAGCAGAGTGACTACTGTGAGGTTGAAGGCTTGGACTGACATATGTTTTGTGGGTAAGTGAAGATCAATCAGTAGTATATAACATTAAGATTTGAAGCTGTGGTCCCACTGGAAGATCTTATGCATAAGTTAGCATTATACATGTTTAGATGGTAAGAGTTTAAGCTGCAAGTGGGAACAGAATTGGATATCTGACATCCTAGGAACCATGCTATAAGCCCGATCTGGGGGTAGTTGCCCCAGACCAGCTGGTGCTGAAAGAGGGCTACCATACGATTATGTAATATTAAGATAAGGCCTCCCGCTGTAGTCTGTCTCCCACTCAAAAAAGAATAAGAAAGGTTGTACTGCTTTCCCCAAAATGAAAAATACTTGTGGGGGGCAGAGGTCAAAGCCAATAGAGTCCAGTGCCTTGGTTATGTCTTCACAGAGCTTAAACCAGTAGAGGCTGATGCATCTGCTAATATTGATTAGGTGTGTCCCTATCTAAAGCCAAGGGCCCTTCCAACCAATACCATCATTATTTGTTAATGGTTTTTCACAAGGACTAATATTTATTTTTAAGTAAATTCTATGCACTTACAGAAATGAAAAGATGCCCATAAACAACATTTAGGGCTAGTTTAATATACACTATGACAGTAACATTTTCGCCTATAATTGGATGCAGACAGCATGGAGAAGTCTATTTCCAGCTAAACATTACCCATTCTTCCCTTAATAGACTGGAGTACAAATCATGTATAAAATGAGCTTTTTCTAAATGAAAGCAAAGTGTATCAGCTTCATCTCGGTGTGCTCAGGCATCATTCACTCAGTTCAATCAGTCCTGCTAGAACACCTTCCCCACTCCTGTGTGGGAGGCAAGCTGCCCAAGCCTGTGTGAAATATTCAGAAGCCAGCCCTGAATATCTCACCCTCACTGGCGGTCTCTGGAGGCCTGTTGCTCTCAGGTTTGCTGGTGAGAGCACTGATGAGCTGCAGTTTCTCTCTTAGCTTGGATACCTGAGAATCTGAACTATCTTCTTTCTGCTCAAAACAAAGATCACAGAAGGTTTAAGGTGGAAGTCAGAACTCATCTGATTCTTCATTATATTCCCAGAGCCTGTTTAGCATGTGGTGCTTGACCCCCAGTAGATTCCCTATAAAGGCAATGAAAGCATGAACCAACAAATACTAGAGAGATCTTTGGTATCAGTGCCGATGAGGGCCTAGCTGGATTTGAGGCTAGGCCATTAAGGGAACATTATGCTACACATGATCTGATTCACCATGAACATTTGGCTGATGGAGAAGGCATGCATGTGTCAGCAGTAAAGGAAATGTACCCTTGCTCAGGTGCCTATGTGAGTAGGACGTTGTTTTCTAGGAACTATTTCACACTAAATAATGTTCCACACTAAATAATGTTTCTGAATATCTCACTTCACCTGTGACTATTTCAGGTAAAGTTTTATATTCTTATCACCTTAAAAAAAAAAAAGCAATCAAACCGGAAGTGTTCCCTGATCCTCCTTCTTTGTCCCCATGGTGATGACGAAACTGGTGGCAGGAACATGAAGAAGGAGCTGGAATATTTCTAATTCAAAGTCTTACTTACTTAAGTCTTTTTAAAAAGTTTTCTTCCCTATACCTTGCCTCACTCCTGGGATGATACAGAGTGGCATATAAAAAATACATTTAATTATAAAATGAGAGAAGTCTGGTTTTTATGAGGCCAGTTTCTAACTACCTAGGCTAGGGTGAAAGATCCTGATCCTATGTTTAATTAGAACAACAACTCATTACACATTTATTTTATTCAACATATATTTACTTACTTGTCTCCTATCTTTAGTTCTACTCTAACAGTTACTGTACAGTAGATCACTTTTGGTTTATTTAGGAAGGTAAAATACAAGCATATGTAACTAAAACTAGGTACTAAACGCTTGAAGAATGTATGGTAAGGAGAAATTACATCTGGTTACGATGCTTTGATGAGGTAGGACAAAGGGACTAATACATTGGGATGACAGTTAAAAACACAGAGAGTCTGAAAGTAAAGCCAAGAAATTCAGGCTTTCTGTGTACTAGCTGTATTTTATTTTGATATTTACTGTCAAAATCTGAACTGTTGCTGAAATCACTAGTACTTCCCAATAGTAACCACCCGTTACTTTTTTGTGCTCAACATTTATACCTGGATCTTAAATTTTTTAAAAAATTATTTATTTATTTATTTATTTTTCCCCCTAAAGCCCCAGTAGATAGTTGTATGTCATAGCTGCACATCCTTTCAGCTGCTGTACGTGGGACGCGGAGAAGCATGGCCGGAGAAGTGGTGCGTCGGTGCGCGCCCGGGATTAGAACCCGGACCGCCAGCAGCGGAGCGCGTGCACTTAACTGCTAAGCCACGGGGCCGGCCCCAAGGATCTTAAATTTTTTTTGTCATTCCCCAGGTGAGGTTTTTTTTAAAAAAACTTCTTTGCAGAAGCAGTTAGAAAACTCAACAAAAGCCTAGCTTATAAAGAATTAAAATCTTAATATATATGATTTTTATCTAGACAATACAAAACTGTTAAGGAAGAACAAATATAGATAGAAAACACTACATTGAAAACTGCCTCTACTGTGGTTCATTTCCAAGTTCATTTCCTCTGAACCTCACATCCTCGAACTTCTCAAATGCAATGTGCATCTGACATGATGCATTAGCCACTCAGTCACAGTCTTTCTGGCTTTTCCTTTATCTTAGCCCAGGTCTTATAATATTAAACAACACTCTGATCACAGAAAATGTTGCAAATGAACTCTTTCCTGGGATATCAAAGTATATCACAGATTGCTTATCTTATCTTGACAATATATGTCTGGGAAGGACAAAAAAACAGGAAGGTACAAGGTGAAGGGAACTGGCTGAGGCATAAAGGGACTATGTATGTACTGAGACTACAATCTTTTTCTCCCCTCCATCACCCAAGAGACTGCAATCTTAAAAATAAATAATTTTTAGGTTAGATACCATTGTTAGATCATCTATGCCTCCGTTCCCCATCATTAGTACAGATAACTTACTGTCTTAGCTTAAAAGTCACTTTCTCAGGGATGCCTTCCTGATCTTGTTAATGCCCTCATCATACCCTACATTTTTCCTTGTAGCACTTATCATACTTGTGATTAATTATCTGCTCAATTATGTGTTAATCGTTTTCTGACTGATGGACTTTGAGCTCCACCAGAACAGGGGTCATGTGTCTTTCCTGCTCACTGTGGTCACCCTAGCTCCTGCAAAATGCTTCGCACAGGGTAGGGCCTAATAAAGTATTCACTTATTCACTAATATACTAATTTACTAATTACTTCATCTTGAAGTTTTAGCAAATGAGACCAAAGTGCTCCTTTTAAGAAAGAAGCAGTAGCTTAAAAGCACAAAGATGCTGATGCATTTATTTTTACTTCAGAGTAAGCCTCCTATCATTTACCTTTATGCTTTGGATTTTTACTGTATCTGTTCTGTTGGTCACTTGACGCAAAGACTCTCTTTTCAGAGTGGCAGCTCTATCACCCATCTTAAAGGGTAAAAAGAACAACAAGAAAAGATTAAAGGCAAATATTAAAACTTGAACATCTAGCACTTCTTAAATAAATTGGTCAAACTTATTTAAAAGGTCTCAAAACATTTTCAACAGAAATACCAGTAGGAGAGAGGGAGAAAGGCCACCGAGATACAAAGCCGAAACTGGTGCTTCTAGTGGTTTCAGTCACAAATGTTAAAACTTTGAAGTATGAAAGGGAGAGAACTTTTACCCAGAACCATGCTGGCTATGATGCTGTTGGAAAGAGACAGTAGGACAGATGGTACTATTAACAATTTCCTCTTCTGGAGAAAAAATAAAGTGGAGAGCGAAGGGACAGTACAGGGTGTTTGGGGGTGGTAAGTTTTCACAATAAGCCTTGAAAACCTTCAAGGCCTACTACTCATCAAATCATCCCAAATTCCTAGTCTGTACTTAGTTTAGCTGAGTTCAAAAGGGCTTTTTACAATAAAGCTCCTTTAATCTTCACAGCTTTGTGGTAAATTACACACCCCTGTAAAGCAGGAGGAGGAACAGGTCTTCTTACTCCATCCTCAAAGCCAAGTCGAGGCATCTTGCCAAAGCTCCACTGTGGCAGAGCCAGTTCAAACGCTGCTTTCTATGTGCCAGAGCTGGACTTTACTTGCGGGCTTGCTTCCAGCTTTGGTGGTTACTTGAATTTATAGTACAATTGCCTGTATTTGGTTTCCATTTCTTTATATATGCCGGTCTTTGATGTATGAAATCTTTAAGGGTAAGGCTGCAGCTATTAAAAAATAATCCACATGGATTCCAGCATCATGTACATGTGAAAGGTGATTAAAAAAAAAACTCCCACATTTTATTCACAATAACATGAAAACAAATAAATCATATGGTCAGCCGGTGTTAGTGACTTACTAGGTCATTCAGTTTCCTCATATGTAAAATGAGAGGATGGATTCAATGGTCTCTTAAGTTTGGGAGCTGTTCTGACCTGATCTATTTTAAATGGCTTTCCTGACATTAATGCAAAAGGATCCCCCTAATATGCAGATGAATCAGGATAAATCTGAAAGCCAAGTTCAAGCTTTAAGAAATAGCAGATGATTCTTCAGCTATTGTCACTGTCATTGCTCCCACTCTTAACAAATTAAAAAAGAAAAGCTCAAGAAGACCTCACTTGGAAATACGTGCCACAGCTTCCCTACCAGATGGGTCACTGGTAACATAATAGGAGGCTTGTCATCTTTGCCAACAACTTGTGGTGAGGCCTTGGCAAGCAACTGAACTTCTCTACATCTCCCTTCCAAATCAGGACTAACACCGCCTGTGCCATTCACATCACAGAGCCAGTGCAGGGATTAAAGGAGACAAGGATTAAGCCCTTGTCTTAACAAAGTTGTAGCCTCTCAAATATGCCAGAAGACTGTCTGAAAGGTTGTGGCATGTCACCTACATACAGACAAAACACACTGTAACACAGAACACGTTACAGAAGATGGGAAAAGGCTTACCATGCTGGGGGACAGGTTTGCTCGCTTTTCTACCTTGCTCATAGCAACCAGATCTCTATCAAATTGACTCTCTGGGAAAGATTACTGACTGTCTCATTTATCCCCTCGAGTTTAAGATCACTCTGTCTCTGGTACCCCACTAGGGCAGTGTTTGCCTCCTCTGAAGAGTTATGAAAGTACAGGACATCCTGGAGTGGAAATAAATCAAGTTGTGGAATCCAGCTAAAGACGTGTACTAGATAAGCAGGCCAGCAGCACTGAACAACCCTAATTACATCAAGTTACTGAAGTAAACTCCTTTCCCTGGTTTAGACCATCGATTGTCTGTCTCTGCTTTGTCCCTCCACTCTAAATTGCTCCCAGTTTACTCCCTCTGGAATTGTTTGACCTCAGCTAGACAGGAGGGGGCAAGAGGGAGGACTAACCTACATGATTCACTCTCTGGTCCCAGAAGACTGAGAGCTTCGGAATTGATTTCCCAAGGTTTACCTCACCTGCTGGCGGGAAAGCTGGCTGGGTTATTAACTGAAACGCCCATTAACCTAATTTGTCAGAACAAAACTACCTTAGGAACAATACCAATTACTGAATTGGCTCATGTGGCAAAACCATAACAAGTAGTGCATTATTTAGTACAAGATTCAATTATTTTTATTGACATCCTCTAGCACTGATTGCTACTTAAAAAGGAATGATGACTATAGGTTTTAAAGGGCATCAAACTCAGGACAGGAATTCTAGTGAAGATTTTCTTTATTCTCCTTAATGTGATTTTGAATTCAATATCCTTTTCCTCCCTCCCTCCCTCAAGACTTCCTCTCTAAAGTCTTTAGACTTTAGAAAATCCTGATTTTCAAGGGTATGCTTTCTAATATTCTTAGAATTTACTGTGGCTCAAAATAGCCATCACTTTGAATTAATTTGCTATCCATCCATCTTTAACTTGCTCAGATGGCTATTTTTCATAAAGAGTTTCAGGATAATCTGGTTTTTCTATATCTTTCAAGAGGTGAAAAGGAATTTACTCCACTGATCAACATGCAGGGGAAAAAACCAGAGTGCCAAAGAAGAGACAGGACAGCATCTTGTTTCCTAAGATAGCAACACATAGCCCTTTCTGCTCAGTTCTCAGGCAGGCAAATATATGCATGAGAAGCCTGCCAAGGCACCACAACACTGAGCCCAAACTACTCAAGCGGCCTCCAGAGTCCACTGTGGTCACAGGGAGTTAAGCCAGAGACAAAAAGTACCTGTTTCAAATTCTCATTGTTGGTTTTATTGTCAAGTTCTGATGTAGCTGAAGGTGATGGAACGATCTGGTTGCTTCCACTGGTCTCCTTCAAGAAGTGCTGATGTGTTAACAGGAATGGAGGTTAGTACAGGCAACAAGTAATTACTAGTTCTATTTAACCATCTGGGATGGTCTGAGAACATTGCAGCCTCTCCCAGGGGGCATCCACAGGTTCATCAACAATTATTTCCCAGGAACCTGCAGTGTGACCAAATCTGTGCTAGGCTGCGAGGGCACTAGCTACTTTGGGGGATGCCCAGCCTGAAGCACGGGCTGGACAGCAGCACCCAGGCAACCTTGGAGAACTGAGATCCTCCTGGTCTCTTTCTCAGCCTCTGAATGGAATGAACTCCCCAGAAACCAGTCCTCCTCTTCTCCATTACCTGGACTCCTAGAGAAACTGCAGAATCACTACAACTTCCCAGGGACCAACTCAGTCTGAACCTGGCTAGCGTCATTATGTCCCCAAGACTAAAAGAGGTTTGGACATTCAAAGAGCAGACAGTCATGTAATCACTGGCTTTGGGCATTGAGCACAACCACCACTCATGCACATTATTAGCTTTTCAGTATGAACAGCACATGCCAAGATTTATATCTGATGGTCACCCTTCCTTTCCCATCCCCTCCTTACTGCTCAAGTTTCTCTTTGCTGAGACTGAAGTACAACATGTTTCTATACACTTTTTCCCTCTAGTGGAAAAAACTTTGAATGGCTTCATCTTTCAGAGCTCATAACTATGACTTATTAGGTATAATGTGTGCCAGTAAGAGGATTACCACCGGCAGCCATGGAAGTATAAAAGTGGTAGATTTAATTATAATAGAATGCAACTGGTGAAATTGTTTTCTTTGAATCTGAAATCCTAGACATTTACCAATCCTGCTTTTATAAGAAACAAAAGGCAACCATAAAGAGAAAAGGAGAGACGGGGAAAAAAACCCCGTGGTTTTTTAAGCTTAAATTTATAAAGCTTAAATTTTTGAGTTAGGAAAAAGTATTTTAGAAAATATTTAATTACTTGAGAAAATGCTCAAGATATTAAAAAAAAAATAATAAAATAATTGCTGAATTAGAGAGGTCTTTATTCTTATGGATCACACAGTTACTCAGCGGTAAAGGTGGAACTAGAATCCAGGGTGTCTGGACACCTAGGTCAATGTTTTTTCCTGTGGGTCAGTCCCACTAAATAGCCGTGAGGAACACTGGCTCTGAAGAAAATAAAAAACCCTCCCTTCCAGAGCTCTAATATAGCCCAGGTACCCTTGGTACAAATTATCCAGTTTAAACTTGAAACTCCAAAGCTTGAAAAGAGCATGTGGGGCAGATCTAGAAATCAGTGGAGAAGCCAGGGAACTTGCATGTGCCTTGAATAGTCCTGATTTCATGTACATATAACTCCTCTCCCAAGCAAGACAGCGAGGGCTGTGCCATCCTTTTTAAAAACCCTTCCTAGAGCCTTCACGGAGCTGAGTGCCCATCAGTGATTAATTAAGGCCTCTGACTGACTGACAGCTTACATCTGCGCAGCACTGAGAGACATTTGGAAACAACTCCTGGGCACTGCAGAGGTTTGCTCCTGTCTCAGTTATCCACTGGTACATAACAAATCATCCCCAAACTGTGGTTTACAACAACAACTTATTATTTCTCATGATTCTGTGGGTTGACAGGGCTTAGGGGGGTAGGGGTTTTCTTGTGTTCCACACGGTGTAGGCTGAGGTCACACATCCGGCTGCATTCAACTGGGAGCTTGGCTGGAGCTGAACATCCAAGAGGGCTTTTCTTCCTCTAGAGCTCCTGTTCACCTGGCCTCTCATCATTCCACAGTCTAAGGGCCCTGCCCAAACTCCTGGCCCACAGAATAGTGAGAAATCATAACGTGTTGTTTTAAGCCATTAAGTTTTGGCGTGATTTGTTACGTTGTAACAAATAACTGAGATACTTCCCCACTTCCCTTTCCTTCTTTTCCATTTTCCTTCCTACCCATTCCACCCTCAGGAACTGTGTCTTATTGCTGTATCTCTTCCAGCATGTCTGCAAGAGACTCAGCTTTTAATTCTATCCACCTCAACTGCTTAATTTACAGACTGTAGAAAAATCAATAAACTTTTGCTTATTCTATCTTTTAAAAAGAGGCATAGCTGGTTGGGTCTGTCTGGATAAATGGGATAAACGGGTATCACTACTATTACACAGAAAAGGGTGGGCAGGCGAATGCGGACTTTTGCAGCACTTGTGCATTTCCTCACCATATCACTCTGCAGCAACTCCATGGTTGTCTTGTGCTCGTCCACAGTTTTCTCTATCGCCTCCACAGCAAGATGTACGCTGTTTAAAGTATTGCCAATGGAAGCTACACTCTGAACAGAAACACGTAGTTAAGGTCAGTGTTTTTTCCTTTTTAAAAATTTTTAATAGCTTTATTAAGATATAAGTGATATACAATAAACTGCACGTATTCAAATATATAACTTGATAAGTTTTGACATCTATACACCTGTGAAACCGTTACCACAATCAAGATAATAAACATGCATCACCCCTAAGTTTCCTCACGCTCCTTTGTAATTCTTCCCTCACTGTCCCTAGGCAAGCACTGATCTGCTTTCTGTCACTATATATCAGTTTGCATTTTCTAGAATTTTATATAAATAGAACCAGTGAGTGATTATGTACTTGCTTGGGGGTATGGCTTCTTTCATACAGCATAACTGTTTTGAGATTTATCCATGTCGTAGCTACTCAGCATGTAGCTGAGTAGCATTCCTTAATGTGGATACATCACAGTTTGTTTATTCACCTGCTGATGGACATTTAGGTTGTTTTCAGTATTTGGCTATCACAAATAAAGCTGCTATAAACACCCATGTACAAATCTTTATGTGGGCATATGCTTTCATTTCCCTTCATCATAAGCTTTCTCATCATCACAATACCTAGGAGGTGAATGACTGATCATGTCGTAGATGTATGCTTAACTTTTTAAAAAACTGCCAAACCCGTGTTCTAAAATGATTATACCAATTTATATTACCGTTAGCAGTGTATGAGAGCCCAGTTACTCCATATTCTCATCAATACTGGTACCTTCAGTCTTTTCAGTTTTAGCCATTCCAACGGGAGTATAGTGGTATATCACTGTGATTTTACTTACATTAAACATTGATCTAATGGAGGTCAGTACTTTTAATTATTTCAAATATCTTCAAACTATGAATTCCATGTAGCTTATACTGACACAATTAACAGGAAATTATATATATATATATATATATATACATATATAGTCTGTCTGTCTGTCTGTCTATCTATCTATCTATCATCTATCTATCACAAGCCATTTTCCCAATTTAAAGAACTTTTCCTAGAGGAAAACCAAATCTTTCCTAAAAAGAAGATACTAGTTCATTAATCTGGGACCCACAGATAAGGTTCTTCTGCAGACTGCCTCTACCCACCCCTGCTGTAGGCCAGAGCTAACACTGCAGACTGCCACTATGTCAGGAGCAAATGATGCCTTTTGAGTGAAAATGGGTGGAAACATTTTTGGCTTTGGGAAACCCAGCATTGCAAAGAAGAAGGAAAAATTCACTTGGTAGCATTTTTTGTTCTTCTACTTTAGAATCCCATTAGCAACCACTGAGCAGAGTTAGACATGGATGGTAGCTCACTTTGCCTTCATTAGGCCCAAAGAGCTCAAGTGGATTGGGGCCTTGGGAATATGATTCAGAGACCATCTTTTAAAAAAGGCCTGTCCTAAGGGAACATCCAAAAGAGTATTACTAGTTGGTGGGTTTTGGCCTTTTATTAAGATATAATGACAGTTTTATAGTGTCACATTAGTATTTTTAACCACAGTCTTTTTTTACTATACTGATTGCCAAGAATTCAAGAGAATAAGAGATGACATTTTCAACATTTAAAAAAAATTACAAGAGATACACTGAAGTTAGCCAGCCCTGGTGGTCTAGTGGTTAAGATTCAGTGCTCTCACTGCGTGGCTTGGGTTCGTTTCCAGGTCAGGGAACTACTCATCTGTCAGGTGTCACTCTGTGGCGGCTGTGTGTTGCTGTGATGCTGAAGGCTATGCCACTGGTATTTCAAATACTAGCAGGGTCACTCATGGTGGACAGGTTTCAGCAGAGCTTCCAGACTAAGAGAGACTAGGAAGAAGGACCTGGCCACCCACTTCCAAAAAAGTTGGCCATGAAAACCCTATGAACAGCAGCAGAGCATTGTTTGATCCAGCGCCAGAAGATGAGAGGTTGGCGCAAAAAAAGATCAGGCAGCGTTCTCGGCAGGGTACACAGGGCTGCTAGGAGTCAGAATCGACTCAACAGCACTAACAATAGACAACAACACTGAAGTTAGGTAGTATCTGAGACGACTTACCACTTCAAAACTGAGCCACTTGTAATAAAACTAGTGCCTGACATTATAAACACACACATTTGCAAACAGACAACACACTTGGTAGAAGTCTCTAAGCTGGGATGTTATTTACGCAAGCTCTGTTGTTATAGAAGCTACAGGCATTCAAAGACAGCTACTGTTAGAGAATCCTCACTGGCTGTATGAGCCCACTGGGAGGCAAGAAGATAGTAAGCTCTTGTTTAAGATTTTTTTTAAGGAAGCAGCTGACAGAGGCATGTGAACTTGAGAGCAAAATCCTGAAACTAGTACTCTCACCAACTGCAAAGTGCCTGGCACATAGTGGAGGAAGCTCCACAAATGTTTACTGAATTAATGAATGCAAGAATAAACCCATTTCCTTTTCTAATGTGAGACTGCCAGGTTTGTTTCTGTACGAAAGGCTACACAGGGCTACCTTTCCCCATTTGGCCCTTGGGAACAATGGCAAGGAGAATCTGGCCTCACCAAAGTTGCCCCTACTGTTTTTTTTAAGTTGTAAGCAGATGACCATATTGGACAAATAGCAAACTACGGAGATGAGAACACACAGGTGGTGTGGCTATAAAATACAAAGTTTTGTTTCTGCTTGTGGCTTAGGAATTTCTTGCTCTTTTGTGGAAATAATTTATATGTTTATAGAGCCTGGCATATAATCAAATGAAATTTACCACACACTAACTTTTAAAAGTCAAAGATCCTGGATTTGATACCCATTGTTTGGGGTTTCCTTGCTCCAGAACCCTTCTTCCATTTCCTGCTGCAGGGGCTGATGTTGCCTGTGTCCCAGTTAGGCACCTTTTCCTTCCTACCCCTATCCACTCACCCCACTCAGCTCTGAAGATCCCTGTGTATTATTCTTCTGGTTGGTCACTGCCTCCTGCTCTAGGCCTGAATTCTAGGGATTAAGTAAACAGAAATTTCAGATTATTGTTTGCATAGGCCCTAGAGTCTAGGTTATATACCTAGGAGTGAATTGCCTAGAGGATGTGCACCTTTACCTTTATAAAATATATATTGTTTTCACATATGCTTTTTACTGATTTATACTCCTAGCAGGAGTGTTTGAGAGTTTCCTTTGCTCCACATCCTTGCCAACACTTATCATATCCTGAATTTTTAATTTCTGCATTCCTCAAATTATCTTTTTTTTTAAAAAAAACCTCTTTCTCAACCATGGTTGAGAAAGTTCTCATAATAGCAATTTAGAGAACTCTCATGTACAACTGGTCTGCTTTCATGAAGATATTGTGGATGATGAACTGCAAAGGCAAGTGATGAAAAGCAAACCTACCTATGTTACCATCCAGTCCCAGCAGAGCAATCCTGGGACTTGCAGAGCCAAAGAAAAAGGTGTGAACCCATCTAAACCATAGCTCAAGTCACCTGTTACAAGTTAAAGGCCCAACTAACCAGACTAAAACAGAGATGTTGCAAACTTTCTAGAACACAGTGATATGCTAAATTACTACCCTCTTGGAGCAGCTGATTTCAAATGCCAGGCTTGCAAAGAAAACTTGTAAGAAGCTGGAATTACAGCAGTAGGTTAATCTCACTGCCCACACGTATCACTTACCTTCTGGAGCCCCTCTACAGTGGCAGGCAGGCTAATTAAGTCTGCAGCTGACTTAACATTGGCTTTGAGGTGGTTTACTGCAGAAGTCAACAGAGAAATCTGAAAGGAAAAGAGTTAACAAACAATGAAAATAGAATTTGTAGAGTGAACGCTCCCTTCACAAAATCTACAGTTGATGATGATGTCAAGGCATCCTTGGCTTTTATGTGTTTCTGTGATTCAGACATTCTATCTGTCAGCTCACAGCAGTAGAGGAACTACAGTACCTTGGACAGACTTGAGATCTTGGAGGCAGCAATAATACCCCTTCTTTCCCTGCTCAATTTAAACACTAGTGCCCAAGAGGGAAAGGCAAGTATCATTCTTTACCCTACTCCTGGCAGCTACAAGATCCAAAAATCTTAAATTACCCAAAAGATGCAGTGATTACAACACAATCCTTCAACAATTGACAGGAAGAAAGCTAATGATCAAGGATCCCTGAAAGATTTCATTTTTGTAAAAAATAACACCTCAGTTATTGACTGAACTTTTGTTCCTGCCCAAGTGGGAACATATATTATAAAGTAAAAGCCTGTCATCACAAAATACAGGCTACAGGAACTGTATCCCGACAACCTGAACACCATTTTCAACTACTTGGGGATTTAGATTTGGTTTAACAATGTGATTAATATTTCAAACTCAACAGCTCAACCAAAGCACTACTTTGTACCCTGAAGGGGCTCAATAAATACCCATTGACTCGCTGACTGATGCACTGAATATATTAAAATAGGAATTGAATCAAAATAAAATGTGTCTTCCCTTCTGCTATTTAGGGGTAGAAGTCTAAATAGCTGGACTTCTCTCCTGAACGGGGACTGCGGGAACCTGTATAATACTCACTTTCAGGCTGCAGATCATATTCTAACAACCTTGCAGTGTGGTTCAAAACATGCCTGAAAGATGCTTAGTTCCAAACTGCTTTCTTGTCCCAAATTCTAGGATGAGGACACAGATCTGCCAACAGCAATTATATTCAGGGTGGCCTCACAGAGTAACCACTGAAGTTTCTGGGCACTTGTTACACACTGAACACTGTGGTAGGCACCAGACGGATATAAGACAAAGTCAACCTGACCCCCTGTTCTTTCCTTCAACAAATGCGTGGTGTCTTCCCTAGGCCAGGCACTGCTGCAGGCACTGAGGAGACAGTGACACAAAACCAGGAGGTTTTACTCTCGTGGAGCTTACATCCTAGCAGAAGGTGACAGAAAAACAAGGAAGAAAAGTATCGAGTAGTAATAAGTACTACGCAAAGAACTTAAACTGAGCTCCTAGAGCAGCAGCAGTGTGTTCTGAACAAGGGAGTCTGGTGATGAGCCCGGGGACTTGGGGACTCAGGTTCTCTTCTCTCTCTTTCCTTTTAGGAGGGATATGTTCAGGGGCTTCAGACCATTTTTCATTCATTCATTCATTCCTGCAACAAATATTTACTGAGCCCAATTTTATACCAGTGGTGAACACAGATGTCAGGGATCTTGTGACATTTACATTTTATTGCAAGGAGACAGACAATTTTATATAAGAAAAAATATCAGATAGTGGGATGTGTTAGAAGAAAATTAAAATTAGGTGACTTGATGAGTGACTGGGTAGCTACTTTAGATTGGATGGTCAGAGAAGGCCTCTATAAAGGAGATGAAATTTAAACTGAGATCTAAATAATAAGAAGGAATCAATTGAACAAAGATTGAAGTACATTTCAGGGCAGAGGGAATTGCTAGGGCAAAGGCCCCAGTGCAGGAAGAGCTTGGCATATCTGAAGAATAGAAAGAAGGCCTGGTGGCAGGAGCACATAATGTAAGTGAGGAGGGGGAGGGGGGAGGATGGAGGGGGAGGGGGGTAGAGGTAGGTGGGTAACTGTAAAGAAACAATTAAGTACTAAATGTGATACTGAATAAAGTTCTGAGAAAAGAATATTAGTGCAGGCTGAAACGGAGAAGTAAGAGTTTTATTTATTTATTTATTTTTTTGTGAGGAAGATGGGCCCTGAGCTAACATCTGCCAATCCTCCTCTTTTTGCTGAGGAAGACTGGCCGTGGGCTAACATCCATGCCCATCTTCCTCCACTTTATATGGGAGGCCGCCACAGCATGGCTTGCCAAGTGGTGCGTCGGCGCGTGCCCGGGGTCTGAACTGGCGAACCCCGGGCCGCCGCAGCGGAGCGTGCGCACTTAACCGCTCGTGCCACTGGGTCAGCCCCAAGTTTTAGACATAAAAATAAAGCAGGTATTCTTTCCAGGTTAGAAGGGTAAGTGTGGAATTGGGGAACAGGTAGGGAGCAACAGCATGAACAGGCCCAGGAATACTTTTTCTTCATAGTATTTCTCAAAGTGACAATAATTTACTTATTTATTTATTTTTTTTGGTGAGGAAGATCAGCCCTGAACTAACATCCATGCTAATCCTCCTCTTTTTGCTGAGGAAGACCGGCTCTGAGCCAACATCTATTGCCAATCCTCCTCCTTTTTTTTCCCCCCAAAGCCTCAGTAGATAGTTATATGTCATAGTCGCACATCCTTGTAGTCGCTGTATGTGGGGCGTGGCCTCAGCATGGCCGGAGAAGCAGTGTGTTGGTGCGCGCCCGGGATCCGAACCCGGGCCGCCAGTAGCCGAGCATGCACACTCAACCGCTAAGCCACGGGGCCGGCCCCTAATTTACTTATCTCTGTGATTAACAAGGTTTCTCTCCTCCACTAGACTGCAAGCTCCATGTCATTAAGGACCATATCTGTTTTATTTTCCATAAATATGCCTGCCACAAGGACAGCATTCAGTAAGTATTTACTGAATGAACGAATGGCCAAGAATGAACACTCTGTGTCTGGGATGGATACTGAGAGGGCCAATCCAAGCAGAGTAGAAGGCAGAGGCCACGAAGTAGGAAATAAGGCTAGATAAGTAGCGAACTCATTTTCCTCACCAGTAAAATGGCTAAAACAATAACAACTGTTTAACAACAACCATCTCATAGGAATGTGTGATCATTTAAAAATATGTCTACAGATTCTTTTTTTTTTTTTTTTTTTTGTGAGGAGATCAGCCCTGTGCTAACATCCGCCAATCCTCCTGTTTTTTTTGCTGAGGAAGACGGCCCTGGGCTAACATCTGTGCCCATCTTCCTCCACTTTATATGGGACGCCGCCGCAGCATGCAGTGCGTCGGTGCGCGCCCGGGATCCGAACCAGCGATCCCCGGGCCGCTGCAGCGGAGCGCGTGCACTTAACCGCTGGCCCCTACAGATTCTTTGATCGTCCTCCCTTCAAAGAGGTGGAAACATTTCCTTTTCCTTGAGAGTGGCCTATACTTAGTGACTCGCTTTTAGTCCACAGAATAGAATGGAAGTGACAATGGGCCACTCTGGAAAGCAGGTCATTAAAAAACACTATGGCTTCCTCTTTATCTCTCCCTGGGATCATTGCTCTGGGGAAGCCATCTGCGACGCTGTGAGAACACTCAAGCAGCCCCAGGGAGAAGCCCATGTTGGGAGAAACCAAGACCTCTTGCCAATAGCCCTGTGAGTGAGGATGCTCCAGTCTCAGTCAAGCCTTCAGATTATGCAGCCTTGGCCTATATCTTAGCTGCAACCTTACAGAGATCCTAGTCAGAACTACTCAATTAAGCTGCTCCCAAATTTCTAACCCACAGAAACTATGAGATAATAAATGTTTGTTGTTTTAAGTCATTAAGTTTTGGGAAAAATGTAACACAGCAACAGATGACTAATATAGCCTATGAGGATTAAATGAGATATCTAACTAAATCTCTTAGCACAGTACCTGGCACAAATAAAATACCAAATAGGTGTTAGCTCTTTGACAGTGAAATTTAATAAGAACTTAAACATGCAATTCTCCATAAGTGCTCCAAAATATTCAGACTAATCTTCAACATTCCAACTCTATCCACTTAAAAACAAAACGGGTGAGAAACCTCAGCCCAGAGAGACACTCTCAGCAAACTATAACTCTCTTAATAGCAATTACATCAAGGTTTTAACCTCCTTTTACCTTCAAAAAGATACAAATATCGAAGCTTGAAAAGGACATAAGGAAACAGGCATTCTCATGCATTGATCATGGGAATGTAAACTGGAGAAGACTTGTTAGAAGGTTATCTAGGAGTATTTGTCAAAATTTGAAATATTTGAATTGAATATATCCTTTAATTCAGCAATTTCATTTCTAGAAATTTATCCTAAAGATTACTTGCTCATGTGCACAAAGACGTATGCAGAAGACTATTCATTGCTTCCTTATTTGTAACAGCAAAACACTAGAAACAATCTAAATGTTTATCCCTAAGGATGTAGAAATATTCAGTGAACAAAGCGAGTTGTAGAACAATATATACGAATGACTCTATTTAGTTAGACACACACACATGCTATCCCATAAGCTAATTCATATTAAAAGCTACTATGATTTTGTAAATGCATAGAAAGGAGACTAAAAGAATGCAGCCCAGACTATTGACAGTGGACACCTGTGGGGACAGGGAATGTGTGTGTATATGTGTGCAATGGGGCACATACAGAGATGGGGGTTGAGGGGGAATTTTCATAAGAGTTCTATGTGTATTTCATTATTTAAATCTTATATAAGAATACATTCACATATTATTCATGAAATTTTAAAGATAAAAGATGGGAAAGAAATATACACATAGGAAAAACACATCACAAAATTTTAAAAAGGGTTTGACAGATTTCCTTGGCTGGTCTTTTCTTCCATGTCCCCCACTGGGTCTTCCAAGACTATGATAACATGCTCACTCTTAAAGTGCTAGGAAGGGGTTCCTCCCCCAGGTATGTTTTACTCAGTGTCCCAAAGTATGTACACAGTTGGCTCAAGACCAACTTGATGGGCGACAACACGGTTATTCCAAATGCCCTATCAATTGCATGGTTACCTTTTGGCCACCTGGGGGAAAATTCTTTTCACTGACAACTGGCCAGATCCTAAAGGGACAACAAACTGTTCTGGTGGAGCGATCTGGGCAGAAACTTTTCTCCCAGGCACTGCAATATCCTTAGGCTGTGGCAGAGACTGATG